CTTTTACTATGTAATATTATTAGGTAATATTTAAATATTATTTATTCATTAAAATTAATTATTACATACTTACATTTAAAAAAAAAATAAATTTGAATTAAATATTTAGCTTGACAGGTACCGTCAAACAATGAATATAATTAACAATTATTAAATATGTAAATAATTAAAAATATGTAATATTTATTAGGTAAAAAATAAATTTATTTTACATGTAAAAAAATATTATTAGGTAAAATTTAAATTAAAACAAAATATTTATTCATTAAAATTTAATTATTAAAAAAAACAAAAAAAAAATAAAAAAAAATACATTTAAATAAAAAAAAAAAAAAACTTTTTATTTAATTAAATATTAAGCTTGACAAGGGGTTTATTTACTAAATAGAAAGTGCAAAATCAAGCTCACTTCTGTATAGAAACCAATCATCTTCCAGGTTGTATTGCCAAAGCTTAATTGAATAAGCTAAGGTTAAAGCTGATTGGTTCCTATGCAGAAGTGAGCCTGATTTTGCACTATTCAGCTTTAGTAAATAAACCCCGTACTGTCAAACAATTAATATAAAAACAATTATTAAATATGTAAATATTTACTTTTACTATGTAATATTATTAGGTAATATTTAAATATTATTTATTCATTAAAATTAATTATTACATACTTACATTTAAACAAAAATAAATTTTAATTAAATATTTAGCTTGACAGGTACCGTCAAACAATGAATATAATTAACAATTATTAAATATGTAAATATTTAATTTTACTATGTAATATTATTAGGTAATAATTAAATATTATTTATTCATTAAAAAATTAATTATTACATACTTACATTTAAACAAAAATACATTTTAATTAAATATTAAGCTTGACGGGTACCGTCAAACAATTAATATAATTAACAATTATTAAATATGTAAATATTTACTTTTATTATGTAATATTATTAGGTAATATTTAAATATTATTTATTCATTAAAATTAATTATTACATACTTACATTTAAACAAAAATAAATTTTAATTAAATATTTTGCTTGACAGGTACTGTCGAACAATTAATATAATTAATAATGATTAAATATGTAAATATTTACTTTTACTATGTAATATTATTAGCTAATATTTAAATATTATTTATTCATTAAAATTAACTATTACATACTTACATTTAAACAAAAAATAAATTTTAATGAAATATTTAGCTTGACAGGTACCGTCAAACAATTAATATAATTAACAATTATTAAATATGTAAATATTTACTTTTACTATGTAATATTATTAGGTAATAATTAAATATTATTTATTCATTAAAATTAATTATTACATACTTACATTTAAACAAAAAAAAATTTTAAATAAATATTAAGCTTGACAGGTACTGTCAAACAATTAATATAATTAACAATTATTAAATATGTAAATATTTACTTTTACTATGTAATATTGTTAGGTAATAATTAAATATTATTTATTCATTAAAATTAATTATTACATACTTACATTTAAACAAAAAAATAAATTTAAATTAAATATTAAGCTTGACAGGTACTGTCAAACAATTAATATAATTAACAATTATTAAATATGTAAATATTTACTTTTACTATGTAATATTATTAGGTAAATAATTAAAAATATTATTTATTCATTAAAATTAATTATTACATACTTACATTTAAACAAAAATACATTTTAATTAAATATTAATAAAATATTTAGCTTGACAGGTACCATCAAACAATTAATATAATTAACAATTACTATGTTTTTACTCATGATACCCTATGACCACTTATAGTGCTGCTTGAGATGCTCTAATAATGGCAGGTCTGCTGTTTCACAGTGCTGTGAGGTGCAGGCTGTCATGTATGCTTGATCCAGAAAGCAATGAAGCATGTGAAGACAAAATGACACCGCACACCACTAGCTCACTAGCCATGTAGATTAAGCCCCGATGGGTGGGGTGAAGCTGGGCTGCTGTTAGAAACCACAAGGCCCCATACAGCCAACCTGAGAGGAACCCCCTAAAAAAAAGTATACAGTTTACTAGGCTTCAGTTATGAATGAACACAGTGGGTGATAGGTACCGATCATTAACTGTGTTCATTCAGGGAAGGAAGAGGCTGAGAAATGTGCCATATTTTACCGGACCCTTCCTCTACTCTCCATGCTGAAGGATCCTATTGTGTGCTTGCAGCTGCCAATGAGAAGAAAAGGAGGGAATCCAGCAGCACTGCAGGGGTGGGGGCACACAGGGGGGCCTGGGCAGCGGAGGGAAATGTATAGTGCACAGGGAGGGTACAAGATGTGGTGGGGGGGAAATTACTGGAACAAATCCCCTGTATGGCTTTCTCTGCAGCAGCTGAAAGCCGGCTTCTTCTCCTCTCTCTCCTGCTGGCTCTCAGCTGCTGCAGAGACAGCCATACAGGCAGAGGCCTCCTCCTCCCTGCTTCACTTCTGAGTGACCCTTTGCCTGCCCTGCAGAAAAAGAAGCCAGATAGGTCTGAGGAGAGAGTGGAAGATGAGGGGCATAGACTCTGGCAGCATGTGTGCGTGTCACTGCAGTAGCCAGGGAGATAGGGTGTCTTCTCCTGCAGTCATACTCAGTCATGCTGTGTGATGGGCACCGGGGAGAAGCTGAGAAATTAGCTCAGCCTGCTATGCTGAGATTTGTAGTCCCATGGAGGGGAAGGCAATACTTACACATACTCGGGGAGTGGGGTGGTAATGTAAGGTAAAAGACTCTGCAGATGCTATTAGGGGTCTGCCATGGCTGACCTGACCCCCTTTTAGAAATACTCATTGCCTGGCACTCTGGTTTAAAGGGGAACTCTGCAGAATATCTCATTGCCTGGCACTCTGGTTTAAAGGGGAACTCTGATGTAAGTGGGATCTCTGTGAACTCTGTGGTGATCAGACATCCCCCTTATGTCATAGTCCCCCTTACAGTGTGTATAAAAGGGGACTCTAATGTAAAGGGGAACTCTGTGGACTGTGGGAAGTTAATGGGATCTCTGAAGACTGTGATGTAACGGAGACTCTGGGATTGATGATAACCAGAGACCCCCTTGCATCAGAGCCCACAGCGTTCTCCTTTACATCAGATTATCCAGTGTAAAGAGGAACTCTGGGTACTCTAATGTAAGGGAGGCTCTCTGGGAACCCTGATTTAGGAGGAGAACTCTAATATAAGATGTAATGAGGTGGACTCTGATATAAAGAGCCTATCTGGGGAATCCAAATGAAGAAAGCTGGACAATACTTAAGAAAAAAAAAAGAAATAAAAAGGAAATCTGTGAAGTAAGCATTTCACAGCCAGGAATGAGCTGCTTCTTAATTGCACTCAAGATTTGTTAAGCACTCTATTTAACCACACAACCTTTAAGCCACAGCTGGTATTTAGCGCAATTTAAACCACACCCACCTTTCACCGCAGAGCGCCGCGTGCTGCATTTTAGCCGATGCTTAGGGCCCACTTTTGATCTCTCACATACTCCCGCTGATTTCATGATATGTCCCTGCTATCAGGTATTATTTTAATGAAAGCTGCAGATCTTATAAAAGATTTTAGTGATTGGGTATATCAACGCTCTTATTATCCAAGGAGGCACAGTGATGACATGCTGCACCTATAATACCATGCCATAAGAAATAGTACAAGTTGATTGGGCACGGGATTTCGATTCGGAAGTCAATTCCGAAGAAGAGGAACTAAAAAGTTAAGAACTTTCCTTTGCTCCCCCATTAGTAAAAGAGGAACTTCACTGGCTCCACTTACCTGTTCTGCAGCATTGTCCTGGATTCACATACTTACCTGCCCAGCGGATCCATTGTTATCCTGCTGCGGATAAATCATAGGTCCAAATTTGGCAATTTATCAGACCAGATATAAAGAGGAACTAAACCGTATCGGAGTATCACAAACTGAAACCTCTACTTAATTGCATTTTAATATTCAAGGTAAAGTCACCCATCCATCCATGTCTCCATACTTTATTTTGCTGAGAAATCAATTTGAACCCCCCCCCCAGCATTTCTAGCCATTGCCATCTTGAGTAAGGGCAGATGATTCATGCAGCTTCTACTTTCTGTAATCCATCTGCCCTTAGCTTAGGCATGCAGGCAGGATGGTGTGCTTATCTGAGAAAGCCCCTCCTTTCCTCCTCCAGATGAAAAAAAAAATGTCCATGAAGATGCCTGGGATGTATGACATAATTTTGACATAGGCCAGAAACCAGGAAGTAACTGAAAAAAAGTTTGAAACAAATATAATATACCTTCCTATCTATTTACTAATGTTAGCAGCACAGATTAAAAATAGCTCATGTTGATTGATGGAGTTCAATTCCGCTTGAAAGTATAACTAAACCTCTAATTTATTTTTCAAATTTTGGATAGATTAGGGAATGGCTAGAGCCCCTGTTTTCTTGTGCTGTCTGTGTCGTTCCGAATAGATTTCCTTTTACTTCCTGCCCCAGAAACACAACAGGAAGTGAGAAGATATCTCTCTATAGCAGTGGTCTCCAAACTATGACCTGGGGGCTGGAGGTGGCCATTTGCTTGCCTTTACCTGGCCCTTGGGGTACTATTCCACCAACTGACACCAATGATGGATCACCATTACCACTGTTGACACCATCAATGAAGGACTTTTCTTCTCATTGAAAAACAATGGGGAAATATTCCTCCCATTGATGGGGCACTGACACCAGGACATTTTCTACTCCCACTAGTCACAGTCCGGCCCCCATAAAGCCTGAGGGACAGTAAACCCTTTGCTTAGAATGTTTGGAGACCCCTGCTCTATAGTGAGGATTATTCCCCTCTTAGTTGTCACAATAACTGGTGTTCTTATTGGAAAGGTTCCCCTTTATCTCTGTTCTGTCCATGATAAATCATAGTTTATTATTCCCAGTGAGAGGTCAGAAGGTATATCCAATGCTTTTCAGAGCTCACAAAACCCGCTTTGCCAGTCTGAAGAGTCAATATCAGAGGATCAGAGCACCACACATCAAAGTTCAGTAAAAGGTTAGTATCTAGGGGTGGACTGACAACTCATGGGGCCCCCGGGCAATAAGGGATCATGGGGCCCCTGTGTCCTTGCCCACACTCAAAGCGCACCCAAAATAGCCAATAAAAAATACCAGGGGCATTTCATGGGGCCCCCTACTGACCCCGGGCCCTCGGGCAGTGCCCGAGTGCTCGAATGGTCAGTCCGCCCCTGATCCACACAAGGGGTCAGAAGGTATAGCCAATGTGTTTCGGGGATCATAAAACCCCCTTCACCAGTTTAACCCATTGGTGCCTCCCAGCCCTTTAAGGGGTCTGTGACGCCGGTTGGCGGACTGTGGTATAGGGTAATGTGACTGCCGTGATTGGCTGTCACGGCGGTCACATGATCAGAAAACTTCCAACCGCAAGTAGCAATCAGGACCTTTCCGTGAGGCGCCAGTAAATGTGCTGGGAGTGCACTCTCGGCACATCTGTTGTTTACATTGAGTACGCAAATATTCAGCCCCTCGGCACCAAGGCCCGGCCGCTGAGAGGTCGCATATTTGCGTGCACTTGGTGCCAAGGAGTCTATCAGAGTATCAGAGCACCACAAATGAAAGTCCAGTAAAAGTTTATTACACTGAGAGGTCAGAAGGTACAACCAACGCGTTTCAGGGCTCACTAGTCCCCTTCATCTGGGCTTGTATGTTGGAAATGATTGACAATAATACTGGACAGGTATTTATGGGAAGTCAGTATTAATAATCACAGACCTGCTGCATTTCCAGATTGCATTTCCTGACAGCCCATTTACTGGATTTATGTTTGATTAGTGGCGCTAGCATCGTCTTATACAGACTTTTCAGACACGCTGCACAGAAAAATGTTATTTCATATTAACAAGCATTGCTTACATAATGACTTCATATATGAGAATCAATATAAAAATAATATAAAATTATATAACTGGAGAGATAAACAGTAACTATGCATATAAAATCAGAATTAAAAATTAAAATTAATTCTGAATATAAACCTGCATGAGATTCGTACTGGAAGTTATATGAACGTGTAAATGATCTTTTCATGTTGTTCTGTGTGACGTGCCAGTGTTAGTTCAGATTCTTCACTATGAGGATTTAAAGGAAACCTTCCATTGGAGAAATATTGTAGCTGCCATTGCTGATCTCTGAAAATGTTAGTTGCCTGAATTTTTTTTTTTTAGCCCTGGGTAGAGTGTGAATGATAAAAGAGGCAAAGTTTTTGCTAAAATGAAAAAGTAAAAACATTTAGAAAAAAAAGTGTTTTTCTTTTATTTTACAAATAATCTTTCTTCATAAATCTTGGCCAAAATGTATTCAGTTATCTTTTTAGTAAAAAAAAAAATAACCCATATTAGTTTATAACCAAAAAATATAATTTAAAATTTTTTTTTTACATTTTTATTTTATTTTTTAATATTATTATTTATGTTTTTTTTTAACATACTGTCACCCTAGCAGTACAGTGTCACCATAGTGGGGGGGGGGGGGGGGGGATAAAGATTTTTTTTTTTACACTGATTGCTTTTACACCCATAAAGGCTGTAAAAGCAATAATTTCTCCTTCTCTCTGGCTGCATTCCTGCAGCCATTTAGAAATACTGTGATTGATTGGTCACAGCTTGTCCCATGATACAAGGCTGTTGTGAATAGCCTTGTACCATGTGACCTCTGTGATCATTCACAGATTTCACAAGTAGTAAGCAATGATGTCAGGAAGTGACATCTTGCTTACTACTATTCATGCGATCACTGATGGCCAATCAGTGATCACATGATCGGGACCAGGGGCGGACTGACCATTTGGAAACTCAGGCACTGCCCGAGGGCCCGGGGTCAGTAGGGGGCCCCATGAGATGCCCCTGGTACTTTTTTTATAGGCTTTTTTGAGTTTGGGCAAGGACACAGGGGCCCCATGATCCCCTATTGCCCGGGGTCCCCATGAGTTGTCAGTCCACCCATGATCGGGACACACAGAGGTCCCATACAGCGATCGGTGTCCCGTACAGCAATCGGTGATCCGGACACGGGCACACACACTCCCAGGGAGCACGCACAGGCTGTAAAAGCGGGCGCTCCCTTTATGAATGGAAACCCTCTCCTGCACTGCACTGCAAGTGGTTAAAGCAGAACTATAGGAAAAATGTGTTCTTCTCATTTTGGATAGAGCAAGGGAGGGTTATAACCCACTATCAGATTGTATCCATCTCTACCCGGTTTCCTAGATTTCCCTTCACTTCCTGTCCCATAGCCAAACAGGAAGTGAGAGGAAATCTCTGCAAATTAAGGGAAATCTTTGGGGACCCCCAGGTCACCAGAACTAGTGTCCACGTTGGAAGATTCACCTTCTATTATTTTTTTGGGAGGAACCCAAAATGTGGGATTTTCTTTTAATTTCCCTTTCAATGATAATGGTAAACAGGACAAATAGAGATGGTGACTCTCCATAGACAGCAAAATAAACTGACAGGCATTCTAATCCCTCTCTATGGTATCCAAAATTGAAAAAAAAGTTTTGCCTCTAGTTATACTGTACTATTACAGGTACACTAACAGCAACTACAACCAGATAGAGCCTCTAACTATGTCTGGTGTTCCACTTTGATGCTTTCCTAAAGCTGAACGCCTGGTGGAGAAAATATTGTCTAAATACAAGTGTTGTGTACAGGGGAGGACTGACAACTCCATGGGGCCCCTGGGCAATAGGGGATCATGGGGCCCCTGTGTCCTTGACCACACTCAAAGCACACCCAAAAAAGCCTATAAAAGGTACCAGGGGCATTTCATGGGGCCCCCTACTGACCCTGGGCCCTCGGGCAGTGCCTGAGTGCTCTAATGGTCAGTCCGCCCCTGGTTGTGTATATTCTTCCTTGAATCTCGGTGTGCTTTGTGTATTTCCTCCAGATACAGTGTGAGACTATACTTCTGTGTAGGAGCTTCCTGTAATAAAGACCGGTCACTGCTGCTCTCTCTCCTTGTGCAGGGTGACTGGTCTTGTCTCCGCCCCTCCCATAGTTTTCTACGGGAAGTATGTAGTGGATGGAGCTGCTGGGCCCCTCCCACATCCCTGCTCTCTGCACAGGTTATGTGCAACACAGGGATGATCTCACCGCTACTTTTATAAGGCAATATCTGGCTCTGCAAAGGCATTTTCTACACACAAAGTGGATTTATATCCTTTGCAGCTATTGAGTATATTTATATTAAAATATTGTGCCTAGAGTTCAGCTTTAATTGCTGCCCTATCCCCTGCCTTTCAGACACTAATTTCTTTATTACTGCCATTTGGAATCATGCAGTCATGGAAGACATAAAATTTAGAACATCATAAAAAAGTGATAGCAGCTCAATAGTTATACAGCTCTATACAACAGATGTGTAATAAGGATGACTGTGGTCATATGTGGGACACAGGGATTTGGTTTCACATTTAGGAACTGTCCCTCTAGAAGAGGGTGGATTGTTTCTATTTAATGACCTGGAACAGAACACAGCAAGTGCATTCAGAACAAATCTGGACACTTTACGTGGGTGGCTCAGTCACTCTGAAAACACAGAGGGACCGTTTAGAGCTGTGTGTTACTGTAATGTTACTGCATTGCAGTGCCGTTCACTTTGAGTGGCACCCCAACCAGGGGCGGACTGACAACTCATGGGGCCCCCGGGCAATAGAGGATCATGGGGCCCCCTGTGTCCTTGCTCAAACTCAAAAAAGCCTATGAAAAAGGTACCAGGGGCATCTCATGGGGCCCCCTACTGGCCCTGGGCCCTCGGGCAGTGCCTGAGTTTCCAAATGGTCAGTCCACCCCTGACCCCAACAAACAAAGGTAATGCACCTGTGTTGTAGTGCGGTGCATTGCATTCTAGGGTAGGGTACATTAGCATCTCATTTATTTCAATGCCCTAACACAAGTATGATAATGCACAACATAACATGCATTAATGCACATGCAAAAAAAGTAGCGTGTAACTAGTCGCAAGGTGAGAGGCTGTAGCAGAGGCTGATTTGCGTCAGACATTTGTGAACACCACCAAAAACTGTCTAGTCACCATAATTGTGTCTCAGTCAGCATTTCAGTTTAGGAAGAAGATGATGACCCTGGAAGATGCCAAATAATGATGAACAAAGATGGTGCTGTGCTACTGAAGACAAATAACAGAAGAAGGCATTGCCAAGGGGAGTCATATGATCTCTATCAGAGGTTTACTTGTATAGTACCTAACTGCTTCAATGCTGGACCAATTCTAACACTTCTCACCTTTTGTCATTTTTTTTCTCTAGAAATTCACTTAGAACCCCCAAACATATTATAGAAAAATTAAAAAAAAAAAAAAAAAAATATATATATATATATATATATATATATATATATATTTTTTTTTTTTTTTTTTTTAAGCAGAGGCCCTAGAAAATAAAATGGTGGGTGCTGCAATTTTTTATGTAACAAGGTATCTGCGCAGTAGTTTTTCTTTTATTTTGTTAAAAGATACGCTTTAATGAATTTTAATGTGCACAGTCACAATATAATACTACATTTTCTGATATCATATAAAAGATGTTATGCCAAATAAATAGATACCTAACATGTCACACTTTAAAACTGCATACGCCAAACTACGGTACCTAAAACACTCCATAGGCGCTGATTTAAAAGCCTTTGCAGGTCACTAGTTTAGAGTTACACAGGAGGTCTGGCGCTAGAATTATTGCTGTCGCTCTGACATTCCACATGATACCTCACATATATGGTGCGATCACCGCTTACATATATGTGTGAGATGTACGTATGTGGTCACATTTATGTTTGAACATGGAGGAGCAGCGGGCACTTTAAACATTTTTTATTTTATTATTTATTTTATGTAAAAATAATTGTCCCTTTAATTATTTTTTGCAACATTATTGCTATCATAAGGCATGAACATGAATGATCCCTTGTGATAGCATGGGCTGTGAAAGGTGCACGTCAAAAATGCATGCACATGCATTATGTATAATACTCCGTGATGTCTATGGGGCACAAAATCACACTGCTTAAATAGCACAGGACCCTTCCCCATAATCACATTGCAGCTGCACTGCATTGATGTGAACTGTGTCACTCAGGTCACATCAGAAATCACATTAGTGTAAACCAGGCCGAAAGTTGAAGGATAATAGACTTACTGGCAGGGTCATCAGGTGAAAAACAGAGGGGGGGGGGAAAGAAAAACCAATGCAGCCACCACATCTAAGAAATGGTCAGTTGCAATATAATCTATATTTTTTGGGGGGTTTTATACCACTTTATCACGCCTACACTTAAAGTGTTACTAGACCAAGGACCCTGCATTCACTATATCTGGTCTCTATGGACCCTGCATTCACTATATCTGGTCTCTATGGACCCTGCATTCACTATATCTGGTCTCCCAGGACCCTGCATTCACTATATCTGGTCTCCCAGGACCCTGCATTCACTATATCTGGTCTCCCAGGACCCTGCATTCACTATATCTGGTCTCCCAGGACCCTGCATTCACTATATCTGGTCTCCCCGGACCCTGCATTCACTACTATATCTGGTCTCCCCGGACCCTGCATTCACTATATCTGGTCTCCCCGGACCCTGCATTCACTATATCTGGTCTTCCCCAGGACCCTGCATTCACTATATCTGGTCTTCCCAGGACCCTGCATTCACTATATCTGGTCTCCCTAGACCCTGCATTCACTATATCTGGTCTCCCCAGTCCCTGCATTCACTATATCTGGTCTCCCGGACCCTGCATTCACTATATCTGGTCTCCCCGGACTCTGCATTCACTATATCTGGTCTCCCAGGACCCTGTATTCACTATATCTGGTCTCCCCGGACTCTGCATTCACTATATCTGGTCTCCCAGGATCCTGTATTCACTATATCTGGTCTCCCCAGGACCCTGCATTCACTATATCTGGTCTCCCCGGACCCTGCATTCACTATATCTGGTCTCCTCAGACCCTGCTGGTCTTCACATTCACTATATCTGGTCTCCCCAGACCCTGCATTCACTATATCTGCTCTCCCTGGACCCTGCATTCACTATATCCGGTCTCCCAGGACCCTGCATTCACTATATCCGGTCTCACCGGACCCTGCATTCACTATATCCGGTCTCCCCGGACCCTGCATTCACTATATCAGGTCTCCCCGGACCCTGCATTCACTATATCTGGTCTCCCCGGACCCTGCATTCACTATATCTGGTCTCCCCGGACCCTGCATTCACTATATCTGGTCTCCCCGGACCCTGCATTCACTATATCTGGTCTCCCCGGACCCTGCATTCACTATATCTGGTCTCCCCAGACCCTGCATTCACTATATCTGGTCTCCCCCGGACCCTGCATTCACTATATCTGGTCTCCCACAGTACACACAACATGGAAATGCAATTATTTTAGTAAATGTTCACAGGCGATGCACTAATGCAGGTGAGTGGGATAAATGTTGAGAGCACAACACATGAAGAAGTGTATTCTTGGCTCCTGTGGTTGAGCTATCTCCCTAGGACAAGGGACTCCCCTTCCGTCTATACAGAGATGATACAGCAAGATTAACCCCTTGGCTGCCGCTGCACCTCCAGATATCTTCTGGTGATTGTACATCCCTTCAAGGTGGTGAATTCCCTATGTGAATATTCACACATTCACTCTGCACTTGGCGATTTTGCACATGATCAACTTAAGGACGTTTTTATGAATAACATACACTGGATGAATAATATGTATCTTTTTGATATATGCAGTCATGGACATTATTATTAATTCACTATATTGCACTTTATCGCACAGACTAGCACTTTTTACTTGCAGACTTTATTTATTGCTGCTTTCTTGAATTTTTACATATACAAAGCTATTTATCCATTTATTTATATATGCTGCACTTTACTGTTCCGCTTTATATACTTTGCGTAATTTTAGCGCTGCACTTCTATATTCATACTTTCTTTGGGATTGTTGCCTATACCTTAAGTGCTAGCTGCTCTTATATATAGGCTTATTAGCGCTCGCCTGTATATTTTAATTTATAAACTGCTAAATACGGTTTCTCATAGAGCAGTGACTTCTATCAGTGTCCAGCCGAGCACTGGTTAAAGCTTGTAGGAGGAGTTTTCATTCCCCCCTGACTGTCCTATGAGGCTGCATAACCCCTGACCTTCTTTCTGGACAGCACTGATTGGCCCTCTGCTGGTCACATGCACTCTCCCAAGAAAAAAAAACTATCTAGGAATACTCATCAAACTGAGCATGTGCAGCTTGCCCCCAAGGCTCTGTTCTATCAACAGATGGATTGGGGACAGTAGAAGAAGGGGAGGATCAGAGAAGACAGGATCAAACATCCTTTTTACACAATGCAGAGGATTAACCCCTTAGGTTCCATAGTGAGTATAACAAGCATGCTTTACTGAATATACAGACTGATTTTACTGTTGTGGGTTTAGTAACACTTTAAGATGAAAAAAAAAAAATGATTTCTGAGGCTCAGCCCACTGCAATCCAGAGCCGTTTTAAAGAATTCACATTGACTGGAAGACGTTCTTTATCCTTCTGAAATATTTCCGCAGATAAAAGGTGAACAAACTCTTATAATTTAGTCTTGCCTTCACAGTGGGATGGTTCCATGTGTTTATTTTCTGTCAGTTCATACAGACATATTTTACATTCCAGAAACAGTTTGGAAATTTCTCCAGTAATTCTCTCTAACTGCAACTGACGGTTAGTCGATTTTAATGTTTGGATAAAAGTGAAGAAGTAAAAAGTGCAGGATTCTGCTTCCCATAGACAAGATAAAAAATACCGCTTTAAAGAAACCTTTTCTTTTCTTTTTCTTTTTTTTTGCCATTGCACCGCTTTGCTGCTGCCATTAGTATATGTGCAGTCACCAAGTGAAAGGGGCTGTCCTTTATGTGTCCTTTATGTGGATATATCAGATAATGAAACAGTATTACACTGCAATTACAGAAATGGTACCACTGTCCTGCCAGAAATAGAATATTACATTGTTTCTTTTTGTAGAAGTACTGAAAAAAAGACTTAGAATAAACAGGATGCATGTGATCCTAGCACAGCTCACTGCTGCCCTCTATGTGAATGTATCTAAAATGGGAGGATATTACATTAGAACCGATAAAACGACACCACTGTCAGAGCCCTGCAAGCAGTTTTAACCACGCATTTGACATGCACAAAAACATGCATTTGCTTGCCGTGTTTGGTTTGCCATTAACAATAAATGGCACTACAAGCGTAACATGCTTCTTTTGTGTGAGCTCCAAGAGCATGCATGAAATTATAGTTCTTGCCCACATCTACAGAACACTCAGGTATTCCTGCAGTCTAAAAGCCAGAATGCTTCTTGTCAGCACATGAACTGATTGGCTCCTTGTTCTTGGCTTCTCCTTCCTCCTTCAAGCCCAACCTGCGATTGGACAGGGGAGAAAAATGAGCACAGTGATGAGCTCATCTCTCTGTCACTATGCTCTCCCCTCCTATCAGCATGCTTCTTGTCAGCGCATGAACTGATTGGCTCCTTGTGCTGCTTTTTCCTCCTCCTCCTCTGAGCACAGACTAATCTGAACCCACCCCAACCTGTAATTGGACAGTGAAGAAAATGGAACACACTGATGAGCTCATCTCTGTCACTCTGCTCTCCCCTCCTATCAGCATGCTTCTTGTCAGAACATGAACTTATTGGCTCCTTGTGCTGCTTCTCCTTCCTCCTCCGAACCCAACCTGTGATTGGACAGTAGAGAAAAATGAGCACAGTGATGAGCTCATCTCTCTGTCACTCTGCTCTCCTCTCCTATCGGCATGCTTCTTATCAGCACATGAACTGATTGGCTCCTTGTGCTGCTTCTTCCTCCTCCTCCGAACACAGGCTAATCTCAACCCACTTCAACCTGTAATTGGACAGTGGAGAAAAAGGAACACAGTAATGAGCTCATCTCTCTGTCACTCTGCTTTCCCCTCCTATCGGCATGCTTCTTGTCAGCACATGAACTGATTGGCTCCTTGTACTGCTTTTTCCTCCTCCTCCGAGCACAGGCTAATTTGAACCCACCCCAACCTGTAATTGAACATTGGAGAAAAATGAGCACAGTGATGAGTTCATCTCTCTGTCACTCTGCTCTCCCCTCCTATTGGCATGCTTCTTGTCAGCACATGAACTGATTGGCTCCTTGTACTGCTTCTTCCTCCTCATCCTAGCACATTCTAATCTGAACCCACCCCAACCTGTAATTGGACAGTGGAGAAAAAGGAACACAGTAATGAGCTCATCTCTCTGTCACTCTGCTCTTCCATGCTATTAGCATGCTCCTTGTCAGCACATGAACTGATTGGCTCCTTGTGCTGCTTCTTCTTTTTACACTCCAGCCCTGCTGTACTGGGGCTATAGGAGGCTGATCCCAGGTCACATTCAGGTACTAAAACTACTTGCATTTAAAAAATACAGTTAGAGATGTATAAATGATTACAGAGTTTCATTAATTTGTGTCTTTTTGGAGTTAGAATTGAAAGTAAACTTCTCAGAAAAACATTTCCAAACCATTCCTTCCCCCTGTATTAGTCACCCTGTGCTGCATATTTTTATCATGCCTATTCTAGTACACCCAGGGGTGGACTGGTAACTCATGGGGCCCCCAGGCAATAGGGGACCATGGGGCCCCTGTGTCCTCGCCCACACTCAAACCACACCCAAAACAGCCTATGAAAGGTACCAGGGGCATCTCATGGGGCCCCCTACTGACTCCGGGCCTCGGGCAGTGCCTGAGTGCTGGAATGGTCAGTCTGTCCCTGAGCACACCCCTTGCCCCATGTGACAGAACTGGGACCTGGTAACTGGTCCCCCAGGCCCCAAGTGCTGCATTGTCAGGAGGCAGGTACTGTGTTACATGCTGCAATATAATTCTTGAAATACCACGATTTGTACAGATCTGCAGTGGCATTTTTATCGGCAGTAAAGGTAAGTATAGAGCAGAGCCAGATCATCTACATTGTAACTTAGGCCGAACCCTGGGCCCCAGTAGATGTCCAGGGGGCCCAGCTACAACCTTCAGACCTGTTGAAAACCTTATCCTAAATCCTCCTTTGGTAAAGGCACTAGATGGTGACCAGATGGGTTGATTATTTTTTGTTCTGAAAGGTGTATGTTGACTGGTTATTTGAAATAAAACTTTGCAATATTTCTTTGAATTTCCTCTGCAGAAGATGTACAGTACAGCAAACACCTAATCATTAAATGACTCATTGCCAACCTAAGCAGTATTTTTGGCTGACTTTAGCTGGCACGAAATGGATCAGGTAGCAGTTTTGTAAGTGTGGTTGGAGGTGAATGGTCGGTCAGCTTGCTAGACATACATCTATTGATCTATGTGTGTCTGAAACAAACAAACTCCAAAGTATCAATAACAAGTGCGGCCTAAAGGATAAATTATTCAATATATTACCGGGATATTAATGGATTGTATCACTGTAAAGATAGATTTTGGCTGAAGTGATTAGAGAACAACAAACTGCACTTTTTGAAAGCCATTTGTAAAGTACACGCAGGTCTACCTTCCAATGACTTTATAATGATAACCATAGAGTACAATGATAACCATGGAGTACAATGATAACCATAGAGTACAATGATAACCATAGAATACAATGATCACCATGGAGTACAATGATAACCATAGAGTACAATGATAACCAGAGAATACAATGATAACCATGGAGTACAATGATAACCAGAGAATACAATGATAACCATAGAATACAATGATCACCATGGAGTACAATGATAACCATAGAGTACAATGATAACCAGAGAATACAATGATAACCATGGAGTACAATGATAACCAAGAATACAATGATAACCATAGTACAATGATAAAGAGAATACAATGATAACCATGGAGTACAATGATAACCATAGATACAATCATAACCATAGAATACAATGATAACCATAGAATACAATGATAACCATAGAGTACAATGATAACCATAGAGTACAATCATAACCATAGAATACAATGATAACCAGAGAATACAATGATAACCATGGAGTACAATGATAACCATAGAGTACAATGATAACTATGGAGTACAAAGATAACCAGAGAATACAATGATAACCATGGAATACAATGATAACCATGGAGTACAAAGATAACCATAGAATAAAAAGATAACCATGGAGTACAATGATAACCATGGAGTACAATGATAACCATAGAGTACAATGATAACCATGGAATACAATGATAACAATGGAGTACAATGATAACCATAGAATACAAAGATAACCATGGAGTACAATGATAACCAGAGAATACAATGATAACCATGGAGTACAATGATAACCATGGAGTACAATGATAACCAGAGAATACAATGATAACCATGGAGTACAATGATAAC